TGTTAATTGATAGTAAGATGGGAAAGAGGTTCTGAGGATATTTTACCTTTACCTCTAAATACCTCTGACTAGTTTCCCTTTAGCAACCTCCTCGTGTTCCCTGTATATCTTGGCATCTCTCTCTGCGTGTCTTTACTTACTCCTCTTCTTTTCCCCTTGTCCAGCTGTCCTGCTCTCTCTCTCTCTCTTCTGTATATTGGTCAAGTACCTGTCACTTCAGAACATAAAAAGGATGTCCAAAGTGGACACTTTTTAAAATAAAAGTTTATCACAGGATTTTGCATGGCAAGATATTCCCATAAGGTCTCTTGAAGTGTAATGGTATATCATTGGAAAGCTGGAACTCAGCTAGTACCAGTCTTCCTGTGGTAAATGTAGCTTCTCCTGCTATAATTCCATGGGGCCTTTTCTCTCTGTGGGCACCAATGCAAACATGTTGCCATGAGAAGAGCTAAAGGCAAGCTTACCAAAATAAATTCCCTCTGGAGTGTGAACTCTGAGACACCAGCTGATGTGCTCTTCCAACAGCCAGGCTAAAGGGTGTTTCATCTCTTAGTAAGCTGGTTTCATCTCTACCTGAGGAAAGATAAAGAACTTGCTCAGGAAATGTGAGCCCCTGCTCCCAGGCCTTGTTCCTCTCAAGCTGATAGACAGGTATGGAAGGAATGCATTTGTTGGCAGGAATTAGATTGTGCCCAGGCACAAACGGAAGTCACATTCTTATCTCTCCTTTTTCTGCTTTGGGGAGAAGCACTGTGGTAGAGGGGGCATGTTCTGCAGGGAGAGGGGTGCAGAAAAAGCACTCTCAGCCTCAGCCAGCTGCCACTTATCAACAGATTTCCAACAACAGCATCTGGCTCAGTGAGGGCGGAAGCCAGGAACCTTCCCAGTGGTGGAGGTGGAGTGACCAGTGGGCAGCAAGGTGAGACTTCACTGCAGGTCAGGAACAAGCTGTGAAGACTTAGCTCCGGATATACTCTGGATATGCTGTCAAGAAAGGATGTCCTCCCCACCTACCCCACCGTGCTGTTAATCAGTCATAGCTTCATCCTAATCACGAGGCTTAGTGTTCCCTTTGCTTCTCTTTCCAGCCAGATAGCCTTTCATTGCAAGCAGGTGTCTAAAATAGGAACTGAGAGACGTAGTTAACCTGACATCCCAACCAGAGGCCACGCCTAACACATTATAGTTCAAGAGTGCTGCATTGCTGTTGCAAGTGATGTTGGGGATATATCTTAGCTTGCATGCAAAGATGGGCAGGATATAATAAGCAAAAAGCAAAGACCACAAAACAGTAAGTACAGCACATTACTGTTGGCATTCCCTGTTCTCTATTTTTTCAATATGCACTTGAAAAAGAAGAATGGAAAGCAATATGCCAGAGATTTAAATAGTCATCATTTCTCAAAGTAATACTACAGGCGATTATTTTTCCTTTGAGGTTTTTCTGTTTTCCCACCTTTTTTCTCTCCCCTGATGGCTTACAATTACTCTAGCTCTAGCAACTTTTATGTATGTCCATATTCCATATCCATCTATACTTCATTCAGGGTTGTTCTATACAGTACCGTAGGTTGGGCACTGTACCAGCACTGGTTTAGAAGGGATGAGTGGGGTCTGAAATCCATCTCTCAATCCACTTGCCAAGCCATCCTGGACTAGGTCTTCCTAGAGGAAAGCAAGCCTTGTTCTAATGTTTCTTCCCAGAAGGGATGCCATTTCCTAACTCATACAGTGACCCTGGGTTTCTCACAGCAGCCCTCCTTCTGTGTTTGTGTGTGTGTGTGTGTGTGTGTATGTTAATCATAATCATTTGGTCATATAATCTCATATAACTACCATCTAAGTATTACAGAGGGTAATTATTTTATAGTCTAAGTGCGACAGGAAGGTATTTCATACTCAGGTTCAGAATTTAGAAATTCTAAAGAGGTAGGTAAAATTCAGGCTTTCTGTAGGGGTAGGTAAAGTTCAAGAGTTTTTCAGAAGGACCACTTCTCTTTGAGCCCTGCTGAGACCCTTTTATGTGCTTAAATCCTTTTCCCTTGGGGTGAGAATGGGTTGGGGAAGGGCTGGGAATATGTGACTTTGAAATGTCAGTAATCAACACTGACCAATAAAAGTCCCAGGTAACCCTTCCCAGGACCGATGGGATGCAGTAGCCTTCACTGTCCCAGGAAGTGGTGATGGTGTTACTAGTGGCTTAAAAGAACAGGACAGCACAGCACTATGGCTGTGCTTCAAGGTGAGAGATGGTCAAGTTCTTCCATCCTCTTAGTTAAGTCTCACCTTTGTTATTTTGGGGAAACTGAGGTAGCTTAACAGAGAGAATACACAGTAAGCATGAGCTATTCAGTAACTGTGAAATAATAGAATCAAATGGTTCCCAGAGTTCTTTCCACAAGTCAGAGAAAAGCTGTAATGAGCCAAGTGGACTCTGGGTACCAGAACCCAGGGCTTTGATGCACATGCAAAAGGCAGGCACATTCCAGAAATAGCATCCCTGACCCTAGAGACTGGGGTGGCTGTGTTTTAATTTCAGGGTTTGAATAATGACAGTTTTATGAACAACCAAATCGTTATTCTGGGTTCTCCCCTGATAGTGTGGTCTGAGACCTTGGCTTGTGTAGTCTAAGTATGTAATAACATTTGATTGTGCTCCCAATGATCCTGTGACAGCCTTCACTTTGAGTTCTATTTCAGAATGCTCTCCTATCTGGGAGCACCTAAACATAGGCCTTAGTGAGGCGGAAGTTAGAAACAGCAGTATCTGCAGGGGAGTCTGGAGCCAAGCTGGGCAACTCCCTACTCTAAGCTCAGTGAAAAGCAACAAGAAGCCCCCCTCCCCGCACCTCTCCATTTTGGGGATGGTAAAAGCAGATACCATTTGGTGAGCAGAGGGAGTGTTCCAGGAAAGCTGACAAGCAGCTCTAGAATTCTCTGAGAAGTTGGTAGAATTGGAGTGTCGGGTGGTGATGTGAGGTGGAGGAAAACATAGACCTGGAATCACAGCGGCTCCTGGAGAACTTCAGGTGCGGCACCATCCATGATCATATCGTCACCAGTTCGTATATAGAGGAAAAAGGTTCAAAACAGAAAGGAGTATTGATTGTTTCTCTCTCTTTCTCTTCACAGAATAAAGGCCTCCAACCTTTACTGACAGTGTGGTGTTTAAAAATGTTAATGACCAGATTATGTTTAACCTCACAGAGTAGCCTTCAAAAGTAAATACACAGCAGCAAGGAATGTGTAGATGAATGATCCCTCGAACACCTCTGGTTGACTGGGGAAACCAAGCCCTCTCAGTTCTGAACATTGAACATTGACAGGAGAGGACAGCCTCAGTGTCAGTCAGTGCCCGGGGTAAACAGGCCATCAGGGATCACAGACTCTTCCTCTGGAAAAGTCAGGTGTTTTAGGCATAGACACAAGAGATGTGAGTCCACAGGGTTGGAAGTTGTGGGGCTATTTTTTGCATCACTGTGGTAGATGCGTCTAAAGCTATACAAAGTATGCCACTCCAGAAGTTAGATTTAATCTTGCTCTTTCTTGACTGAAATCAAGTAGAGATAAGGGAGTTTCAACTCTGGTCAGAAAGGTGTAAGGTATTGGTGATCCTAAAAGCTAATTCTGAGCCTTTGGGGTTAAGAGAGAAATCTCTGCACCACAACTCCTGGGGTCATCCAGAACGGAGGTTCACGAATGTGGCTGTGCTGAAGAGTCCTTGAGAACAGAGAGCTGGGAGTTTGGCAGCTCTGGATTACAATCCTGGTTCTACCACTTGGTAGCTATGTAAATTTGGATAAGCTAATGCTTCTCTAACTTTAGCTTCCTTATTGCTAAATATACTATGTTTCATATAGTGAATAGTTCTGAGAAGTAAAAGACCTCATGGTAAATTCCCAAGGAATAGAGGCTAAGATTATCATTATTATTATTATTATTACTATTATTGCTATTTAGAAGCTAGGATTATCACTGAGGATCCTGCACCAATCCTGAGACCAGCAGTAGGATCAGGCCCAGCAGCACTAAAACAGGGAGAAGGGGGCTGGCTGCATGGGATGTGAGTGGTGGGTCAAAGGCAGATAAACCAAGGTCAACAGAAGACCGCTGGGAAGCTAAGCACGGATAGACACAGCTAGGGGATGAATGTAGAGCCGGTATATGTGCAAGGCCCAAGTCTTGGACCACATGTTGTACTTGTTTCTTTCTGCTGCTGCAACCAATTACCGTGAATTTAGTGGCATCAAGCAACACAATTTGATTATCTTACATTCCGGAATTCAGAAGTCTGAAACGGATTTTACTGGGCTGAAATCAAATGTTGGCAGGGCCAGTCTCTGCAGAGGCTGTAGGGGAGAATGTACTTCCTTACCTTTTCCAGCCTCTGGAGGTATCTGTATTCCTTGGCTCATGGCTCCTTCCTCCATTGTCAAAGCAACAGTGTAGCATTTAAGTCTCACTCTGTTTCTTTTGCCACCTCGCCTTTCCCCCTGGGCCTGGACTGGAACTCTGATGAGTGGTGCACCTCCCTCACACAGGATTTCTCCAAATGTGTTCATAGAGCAACTAGATGAGGAATATGGAGGCTAGAGAATTAGGTCCCTGTTGCTTACGCCTTCCCCTCCAAGCCAAGCACTCTGACTTTGTATCTGTAATCAGTTAAGTTTCCTGAAAGATCAAATTAATTTTGATTTTAAATGGGAAGAAAGACAGGATCTCTTTACATTCCCACTTAAAGTAGATAGCCTTTTTGGTTCTATTCTGCTCCTGTACATGGAGTAGGGTTTTAAATAGCCAGATCCAAGGCTGGTTTAGGAAGCTGATGAGTGGTACAGCTATGAAGACTTTATGATGAAAAGGCCTTTTATTGGCCTCCCATCAGTTAGCTGATTTTTTACCTTCTTTAAATAATATGACACACGAGTCTTCCCATAAGGTTGTCTTTGTTGTGGTTTCATGAGTTGATGTAATTAAGAGTCATTTCCACTTGGCAGTGCTGCAAGAAAACCATTCAAGTCAGATGAACAAGGAAATTAATTAGCAACTCAGGTGAACAGCTGCTCTTGAGAAAATGGGTGCTAAGATTGGCAGGAAGAGAGAAGAACCACCAAAGCAGGTCAGCCAAAGGAAGATTCCCCGTCCTGCTGTGCCCCTGAATGCGCATTTGCTGACCATACCTGAAATGGACTATGGATGAGCTCTGGCTGCCTCTGCTGACCGCCTGTTGGATGGAATGTCAGTGTCAAGGAAAAAGGATTGTGTCCTTGGTTCCTGCCCCTTCTCACGAAATAAAGGTCACCTGGAGATTCCTTTCATATTGATTAGTCACTATATCATTCCCTTGGGTCCTTCCTGCTGGGTTAATCATTGTTCTAAACAATGGCAGCATTAGTCAGCATGATAACAGTTTCTGGTCATTAACAACATGACCAGATTTTATGCCTATTGAATGTCCCTTTATCAAACCATCATGAAGATCAGAAAATCCTTCTATTAATGCTATTTTCTGGAAGAGCTGTGTCTGCCCCTATAGGGGAAATGTTCCTGTGAGAGAGTGAGTTTTGGATAAGTTCCAGGGAATCACCCACAAAGCAAGACTGAAGAAGTCTGTTCTGGTGAAAATCCAACACCTTTGCTCTAGGTCAGCCAGTATCCTTGACTTCCATATGTATCAACTTTAATAGCTGCAGAGACAATCCAAGTATCATGGTTCCGTAGACAGATTTTGTATCTAGACACATTTGGGTTCCAATATGAGCTTCAGCAATAACTGGCCATGGGACCTTGGGAAAATTTTAACAGAAATAAATATAATAATCTATGTAGAATATATTAACATAGTGCCTACTACATAGTAAGTGCTCACAAATGGTAGTTTAAAACTGAGAACACCACTGAGATTGTTTAAAAAAGATCTTGAGTCTGTTTTCTGGGATTTTAGCCCCATGGAGTACATCCTGAGGGGTGCAAACAAACAAGAATGTCACAAATGTTGTAGTGAAAAGGTGGCTAGAGCGCCTCCTACTCCCAAGGTGAGTCACTGTCAGAGTGACAGGTTTGTAGGTACACAGGTCCCTGCAGGTGTCAAATGACACATCCATCTGTTTTAACAGCTATTAACTCTCATTTCCTAGTGATGGCCGAGGTCCTAAATCCCCCAGATCCATATACCATCCACATTCCTGGGTCATCTCTCTCCAGAGCAGACCACGTGGGAGACCACATCCCTTTCGCTTAAAGCATAGACTGAGATCTGCTCCTTGACCCCATTCTCCTAGGTTCACAACCTGATCCTGGCCTGGTCCTGCCTGGGATTTCAAGAAGAGCAGGACACCACCACTAACTCCAAATTTCTTTCCACTCCTGGGTCTCACCTGGCCTTTTGAAGGTCAGGGAACACTCAGAGACTGAAGGGAGCACTCGGGCCAGAGGCAACTGAAGACCTGGAGAGACAAACTCCAGGAAGACCAGTGTGTGTTCCCAGCACCAGCTTCCAAAGGCCTCTCCCCCTGCCCACAATTTAAGACTTCATTATGTGTATCACACAATCTATCTAACATGAATTATTGGGGAAATTGAGACATTGTTATACATGCACATTGGAAAGGTACACATTTCAAAAATATTAAAGTGGAAAACATGCATCATAGTATCAAAGAACTACAATGTTGTCTGGGTGGATAACAGAGGGTCTTTTCCTTGTTAAGCCAACTCATTCTTAGGAACCAGTCTGGAGGGTTCTCAAGTGCTATTTAAATGGTCAAGGGAAAGAACTCAGAGTTTTCAAATCTACTAAATCTATTTCTGACTTCACTGGCAACATTCAGAACTTACCTTGCCTCAGAGAAAAGGAGAGTTCTCATCCTAAGAACAGAGACCTTTGGTGGCATGGAATAGTATTTGTCAGACATTTCCAGGGAATGAGAACCCTCGGCTGTGGGTTGGGTAAGATGTCTTAAATAAACAGAATTCTGGCTAGTGCTGCCCATTGGTGCCTAGAAGTCCTCCATTCCTTCTCACCACATCACACTTGAGGTGAATTTCAAGTTGGCAGCAGCTTGGCTCTGCCATCATGTCCAAATTCCACTATTTCTGGCCCGAATTTGCTTTTCCTGGAAGACTTGAGCCAAGTCCTAGTGAAACATATCCACGGATTTCAAAATTACTGGCAACTTCAGGCTGGCAAGAGGTGTGGGGGCAGAGGAGGGAGGGGAGAGGGAGCGCATGCAGGGTGACTGCTGTGAATGGCCCAGTGGTGAGGAGCTACGTCCAAGACGCGATTTCCAGAGATCTCTGCTCACTCACATCCAGTTTGGCTCTCCCGTGCCCCTCAGGCCAGGCACAGAGTGGTGTGTTTTAGAGATTCTAAGTCCATTGTGAAGTTATGTATTTTGGCAGACTGTAAAGCTGAGTTTCCTTTGTGTTAATCTGTGCCCTGGGACAGTGTAGGCACACATGTGTTGGTGCCTTCCCCTTCCACGATGTCTCTGAACGATGAAGGACTGTCCCTAGCCCCTTCAGGCCTTTTGTAGGAAGCCATGTTCCTTCTGGACCCAGGGCAGCCCCTGATTTGCTGTGTTCCTGGTGGAGGGTCCCCAGCCCATCCTGGATGTTGTGGGAGTGAAAGAGGCCTGAGAGCCAGCCCCTCCTGAAGGGTAATGTAAATCTGAAAGACTCCGTGGACTTTCAGGCTCACCCAGGGAAACCTCAACAGATCAGCTGCCCCTTACTTTTTATTAGGCTCCATATAAACGACTAGGCCATGATTACTGTGGGAATCAGAGGACAGCAGGCTGTTTGATGGTTGAGGACTTGCCTCCAGCACCGGTGCCAAGCAGTTGGAGCTCCTTCTCATAACGCAGGCTGGAAGAGCCTGGCTCTTTGTCAGACCTCAGCCTTTCCTCGAGTATTCATAGCCACAGGAAATGTTATTAACAGAAAGATCGCATGCATGAATTGTCATCTTATTAGTGATGCAGACAGACCTTGTTGCCTATGTTTTTCCAGTCAGACACCAGGTTCTGTCAGTGTGGTCTTCACAATTCCTGCTTCATTCCATTTCCAATGTCTTTGGGTCTTTCTCTGTACACCATCCAGAATACCATCACTGGGCCATTTGTTCTGGAGAGATATGGTACCTTGCTCCAAAATACTCAATAGGTCCCTTCTTCCCAAGGGAAAAGCCCTAACTTTGTATCTGATGTCACATCTCTATACAGCGTGCTCTCGACCCCTGGTGACGGCCTCATGTCCCACTCTGCTTCTGTGGAAACCAGACCAGAGAGCCTGTGGTCCCTCAGAACCCCAGCCTACCTCATCTTTGCTTAGAGTGTCCTCTCCTGGCTAGACTGCCCTGCCACGATGCTCCATTCAAATCCTCATCACTCACAGCCCAACCCCAGGGCCTTCCCCCGACCCAGGTCCTTCCCCCCACCCCACCCCCAGCTTCTTTAGCATTGGCAGAGTAGGCACTTATGCTTCACCACTTTACAGAGCTCCTGCCCTAGGTGCAAGACTGCTCTCTGCCTCCCTGCAGGCCCCACTGTGCCCTTTGCTCTGGGCCAGGCTTGGCCAAGTGGAGGTGGACTTATGTGGAGGTCAGGAGTACCGGCCCAAGTCAGGGGGGTGAGGCTTGACTCTCACCACACAGTGCGACCCTGGGCAAGTTCCTGCATCTCTCCAGTCCAGAGTCGCCCTGTCTGCCAAGTGGGCCATGATGACACATTTGACAGAAATAGTTAGAAGGATTTAATGAGATGCTCTGGGTTAGGCACTTGATGCAGTGCCCCGTGCACTATTACTATTATCATTCTCTTTCTCATTGAATAGATGTTGATGAATAGAATTCTGGAAAAAGCATCCAAGGCCTTGCTGAAGGGTTTGACGTTTAGCTTGGTCTGTATGTGGAACCCTGGTCTGCTTCTCAAATCTGACTAAATCTCAGTTTCTTTGTGTGTAAAGGAAGAACAGGAGTACCCACCACCTCCCAGGTTGTGGTATGAATTAAATGTGATGATGTGAGGATGGCTGTAAAATGCCTCAAATGAGGAAAGACTCTGGTTAATGAGTACACCATGGCAGTCTGGAAGAGCTACGGGTGAATGGTCGGTGATTCCGACCTGTGTCACGTCACTGGATTTCCTTGATGGGCCTTAGTTTCCCCAGCCCCTACACTGAGTCTGGGTGGGGAGGGTAGGAGAAGCTTCCTCTGGCTCAGACTTTATTCAATTCTGCTCCTGTCTTTCTTTTGCCCATTTAGTCCAGATCAGAGCTGGGAGAGTTTGGGGACTTCAGAGACTGTTCTATGTTCCTAGCTTATTCAAAAGATGGGGCCCTTCAAGTGGCTGAGATGGACAGATCACCTGTTTGTCCCCAGGCAGCTCATCAGACCCCCTGCAAATGCTTCTCTGGGAACCCGAGCACCTCTGGAAATATGTGCTCTAGGCTTTGAGATCCAATACAGGCAGATTAGCACCCTCCTCCCCATCCCTGCCCCTCCATTTCATCAGCTTTATCCTGAGGTGGATAATGTTTCTCTAACTGCCTAATTGGGAGAATTTAGCTGGAAAATTGCCATCACATTCTCTTTTAAAGGGTGCCAGCAGCTGGAGGCTGCCAGCTGTAATGTCAGTGGATAATCCTGGCTTTGTGCCAAGGTGCCAGGGAGCACCCCTCTTTCTTCAGTCTGTTTCCCATGTGGTTAGAACAGGCCACTGGCTCTAAGTGGAAAGAACACCAAGGAGCACATCAGAGGTGGCCATGGACACTGCTGCTAACACTGGTCTGTGTCCTTCATGCCCCCATACCACTCTGCTGCCTGCACCACTGGGTGGTGAATTCAGTGAATTAAAATGACCAGAGAACCTCGGCCCTGTGGTGCAGTGGTTAGCTCTGTGGACTCCCACTATAGGAATTCTGAGTTTAGATTGAGTCTGGGCATTGTTCCAGAAAAGGAAAATTTAATTGTGAAGACCCATTCTTAAGTTTGAGAGAGAGACTATAGAGCAGTGTTCAGGTGTGTGGACCCTGGTGCCAGACTGCTTGCTTAGGTTCAAGTCTAGGCTCTGCTACTTGCTAGGCAAGTTACCAAATCTGATTTTATCTTCTGTAAAACATGGATGATAATGCGAATTCCCACCTCTGTTCCACACATCGAGGGACCCAGGTGCAGCATCCAGGGTCTTCTGCAAGATGGGTGTCTAGTGCACAAAAAGGGAGAAGCATAAAGAACTGATGGGAGAGGTGCTGATGGGCCAGGCTTACAAGCGGGTGCCCCCCTCCAGTCACGTTGCACTCTCTAGATACAGTCACACTG